CACAATAGTCTTTCTCCTCGCCAATATGGCTTTTGCAAGGGCTGCTCTATTTTGGACCCCTTGCTACACTTAGATACGTATGTGTGAAATGCCTTTGCCAATAAACACTCCTTCCTAGCAGTTTTTTTTAATCTTGAGAAGGCATATGACACTACTTGGAGGTATAACATCTTAGCCCAGGCTCACTCCTTAGGCCTCTGCAGTAATCTACCGACCTTCCTGTGTGTTGGTGTGTCGCTTTCCTCAGACTTTGTTCTGGCAAAGGAATTCTCACAAGATTGTGTCCTTAGCACTACTCTTTTTTTCTTGGCTATAAATGACCTCCCTGCCATTCTTCCATCACATATTGGGTCGTCACTTTATGTGGATGACTTCACTATAGCTTACGCAGAAGCTGACTGTCTCCTGGTAGTGGCCTCTTTTCAGGATGCAAATGACCAAGTTTCCCATTGGGCCACTTCTCATGGATTTAAATTTTCTAGTAGGAAAACTCATTTCATTACCTTCACTAGACATCCTCTTGTCCCAGATATTCCATTGTACGTATTTACATGGCTCACGTATTCCAGAATGTGATACGGTCAAGTTTCTTTCTGTTCAATCACCAGTTGACATGGAAGCCTCACATTTCCTCTTTGAAGGCAGCTTGCCGTGGTCGGCTGAATCTCCTTAAAATTTTTGTGCATCGTTCATGGGGAGCAGATAGCTGGACTCCTCAGTTTGCATTCCACCCTAGTCTTGTCCAACTTGTCCAAGCTGGATTATAGCAACCAAGTCTATTCTGTGGCTTTTCCTACAACTCTAAGTTAGATCCCTTACATCATCAGAGTTTACGTTTATGCCTTGGTGCCTTCCGTTCATCCCCTGTTCAAAGTGAATGTTCCTTCCTTAGCCGATTGCCATGATGCTCATTGCCTTCGTTACTTTGTCCTCTTTCATGACCTTCATGTTCCTTCTACATATAGGTTGGTCTCAGACATTAGTAAAAGCCTATTATTTTGTCTGTGCCCCAGCTTACTCCGTCAGTTTTTCTCTTAATCTTCATTTACTCCGGTCTTCTCTCCAGTTGCCTCTCCTGTATGATCATTTAGTGTCTGCCTTTACCCTTCTCCCCTTGGGAGGTTCCGGCAGTTCATGTCTGTTCTCCCCTACTGCTGTGCAACAAAGCTCTCCAACCTAATGGCTTCTTCTTGCTCTCTTTTTCTTGATCACTTCTGGTCACTTTGCTCATGCTGTCGCTGTTTATACAGATGGTTCTAAATCTTCTGACAGTGTTGGGTTCATGGTAGGATTCCCTGACGATGTTGTCTGAGGTCATTTATTAGACTTGGTTAGTATTTTTAACACCGAGTTGTATGCCATCCTCATAGCGCTTCTCCATATTACATACAGTGGTACCTTGACTTGCAAGTGCCCCAACTTAAGAGTTTTCCGAGTTATGAGCCGTCACTTGGTCGATATTTTGCTTTGAGTTGTGAGCCAAAATCTAAGTTATGAGTGAGCTTCAGATATGCCCTAAGTAAAGAGAAACAATTCTGGAACGTGTAATACATGTTCGGTAGGCCAGATGGTTGGGTGGCCAGCTGGCTGGCTGATTTGCTTTGGCTGTCTCTATCTCCTTCTGTCTGTCTGTATCTATCTTTGTCTATACATGCCTCTAACTGTGTGTGTGTGTGTCTGTCTCTATCTCACAGGTACACACAAATACAGCTATTCATAGTGTAAATTACCTAGGATTGTCAGCATAGTTGTTGATCCCCTGTATATGTTATCTGAGTATCATAGTACCATCCATATGTTTTACATAGTCGACCCCTTGCTAGGCTCAGTGACTAGCTTGTGTGACATCACGTGATGCCGCATATGAGTGCCGCGCTCCTGGCCTCATCCTCTCTCCATGCTTAGGTCTACGAACAGGCAACACAGGCAGTCTGGGCTCCCCTCTCACACACTGCTAATATAAGTGTTACCATCCAACAAGTGTGTTTAACTCCAACCATCACATCTCCACGAACCCTCCCAACAGGATAACCCCAAAAAGTCCCGACGAAGTGCTATACTACTATGCCTGTAGATATAAGGTATAATAAGCATGACTGACAAGTAATACACATTTTCACTTGCTCAAGAATCAGATGTGACGACCCTGCATCGTGAGTAATACCTGTTGGTTCATGACGGCTCTCTCTCTGAGACAGAGACAAGTAGAGAGACAGGAAGACAGATAAGCAGAGACAGATAAACAGATAGACAAATAGAAACAAATAGACAGACATCTTTATGTGTAACAGTGAAAAATAAGCCAAGGCAGCGCACGATCATCAAATGTCACTCCACTGCTGCACTGTCAACAGTGGAGTGACACTCGTCTTACACCATGCTTCAAGGAGTTTCATATATACAGTGGACCCCCGCATACCGTTGGCCTTGCATAACGTTAAATCCGCATACCGCTACATTTTATCGCCAAGATTTTGCCTCGCATACCGCTAAAAAACCCGCTCAACGCTGTTCGTCCGAGACGCGTCTAATGTGCGCCCTTAGCCAGCCTCACATGTTCCGCCGGTGGCATTGTTTACCAGCCAGCCTCCGCGGTAACATCCAAGCATACAATCGGAACATTTCGTATTATTACAGTGTTTTTGGTGATTTTATCTGAAAAATAAGTGACCATGGGCCCCAAGAAAGCTTCTAGTGCCAACCCTACAGCAATAAGGGTGAGAATTACTATAGAGATGAAGAAAAAGATCATTGATAAGTATGAAAGTGGAGTGCGTGTCTCCGAGCTGGCCAGGTTGTATAATAAACCCCAATCAACCATCGCTACTATTGGTGGTACAGCTGCTGCTGCTGCTGCTGTACCACCGTCAGCTGCTGCTGCTGCTGTAGCACTGTCAGCTGCTGCTGCTGTTGTACCACCGTCAGCTGCTGCTGCTGCTGTTGTAGTACCGTCTGCTGCTGCTGTAGTGCCGTCTGCTGCTGCTGTAGCATCGTCTGCTGCTGCTGTAGCATCGTCTGCTGCTGCTGTACCACCGTCAGCTGCTGCTGTAGTACCGTCTGCTGCTGCTGTAGCATCGTCTGCTGCTGCTGTAGCACTGTCAGCTGCTGCTGCTGCAGTACCACCGTCAGCTGCTGCTGTAGCATCGTCTGCTGCTGCTGTTGTAGCACTGTCAGCTGCTGCTGCTGTAGCACCGTTGTTGGTGTGGCTTATTGAGAATACCAAGAAACAATTAACCCCAGAGGATTTGCCACCCAGGATAACCCAAAAAAGTCAGTGTCATCAAAGACTGTCTAACTTATTTCCATTGGGGTCCTTAATCTTCTCTCCCAGGATGCAACCCACACCAGTCGACTAACACCCAGGTGAACAGGGAAAAATGCCTGGAACTAGTGCTCATATTGGTGAATTTAAAGCCAGCAAAGGTTGGTTTGAGAGATTTAAGAATCGTAGTGGCATACACAGTGTGATAAGGCCTGTTCTGGAAGAAAATGCCAAACAGGACCTACAGTACTCAGGAGGAAAAGGCACTCCCAGGACACAGTGTCTCATCAGTCATTGCTGCATCTTCAATAAAGGTAAGTGTCATTTATTCTTCATTTAGTAGAGTAGTACATGCACAATATATATTGTGCATGTACTACTCTACTATTGTGCATGTATCCTTCTCTTTGTGTGTAGGAAAATGTATATTTCATGTGGTAAATTTTTTTTTTTCATATTTTGGGTGTCTTGCACGGATTAATTTGATTTCCATTATTTCTTATGGGGAAAATTCATTCGCATAACGATAATTTCGCATAACAATGAGCTCTCTTGCACGGATTAATATCGCTATGCGGGGGTCCACTGTACTCCAGTATTTCTAAAACATTGCTGGGATCTGGCAAAAAAAGACAAAAAACATTTCTTATTTATAAATACATTTTTCTTATTTAAAAAGCCATAACAAAAAAACTGGGGTGTATTTTTGGGGCCAGAACAAATTAATGGCATTTCAGTTAATTTCAATGAGGAAAACTGATACACGAGCAAATTGAGTTACGAGCTTGGTCACGGAACAAATTAAACTCGTAAGTCAAGGTACCACTGTGTATGTCTCCTTCAACATTTTTGATCATTTCAGATTCCCTCATTGCTTTACAAGCCATTAAACAATTTGATTCCCCTCATCCACTGGTCCTCTGTATTCAACTATGGTTGCACCATGTGACTAGCAAATACGAAGACGTCGTTTTCTGTTGGGTCCCTGGACACGTTGATGTGCAAGGCAATGAACAGTCGGATACTGCTGCGCGGTCAGTGGTACGTGATCTTCCGGTCTCCTATAGAGGTATTCTGTCCAGGGATTATTTTAGTCATCTATGCCCATCATCGCAGCCACTGGCAGCAGCGATGGTCAGACATGCACCATAACAAATTGAACTCTATTAAACCGCTTTTAGGTTTGTGGCCATCTTCTTACTGCCATTGCCGTACTCAGGAGACTGCACTCTCCCGTCTCCCCATCGGTCATACTTACCTCACCCATGGGTATCTCATGGAACGACACCCTATTCCTCTCTGTGTGGTTTGTCGGGTCCCTATTTCAGTTCTTGACACTCTAGTGGATTGTCTGGTTTACCAGGAAGCTTGCAGGATTTACCTCCACTGATGCCGCCACCCTACCGCTCTTACCTTATCTTCACCTTTTTGCTTTTTTGTCAGCAACTGCTTTACTATACGAACTTTGACACACAACCCTTAGCATCCCTTCCAGCCCTTTTCTCCCTTCACCTCTGATCCCCCCTCTACCTAACTGTTTATAGCCCTGGCACTATTTTCTGCCCCGCAGCACTGCATGACCCTTGTCAGTTTAGCGCTTTATTTGATTATAATAATATTTACAATTTGAAATTGTTTTCTATATAAAAAGATTTAAAAAATATTTACAGGTTGTCAAATGGTCAAATTCAAAACAGATTTCAGTCTAAAATAATGATTTTGCAGTTGGTAAACTTACCAAGAATGCAGGCTCAGGTGTCAGTGGTCTGCTGGATGAGATTTTCCCATTGAGCAATTAAGGCACTACGTCGCCTCATCCCTTTATCCATGACCTGCTGAAGAAACACCAATCAGATGTGTGTATGAGTTTAAAAGCTCTTCTGTTCTTACCACCTCTCCTAAAACTAGGCCTACCTGATGCTCTACTGACTGGTGTTTCTTGTATCTCAGATGGCAATTTTCACCTATCACAACCAGGCTGATTAGGTACTATCTTCTAATGGAATTTAATGGTAATCCAGTAAATGAAGAGAACTTTGATAAGATACTGGTCTTTCTGCTTTAACATATCTAATTTGTACAAAATATGTATCCTATTATCTACATTATCTTTTTCTGCATTTTAAAATTGCCTTTCTTTTTATCTGCAGTGTCAAAATTAAATTGTCAAGTTCAATGATAATTTCCAACTATGTACATTAAAAATCAAATATTCTACATGCTTTATTGTACACTTTCCCAAAGATTCTGATTTTGCTCAAAATTATGGTGATTTTTTTTTCCAATACATATTAGTACAGTGGAACTCCGGTTTTTGTACATACTGGATATCTCACGTTTTGGATTTAGAACCCTTTTTTGGGCGAAAATTTGTTCCGGATGTTGGACCTCGATCTGGAAATTGCACGTATCAGACACGTCCACTCACCCAGGGATGCCATCAGTCTGGCTTTGTCACTGGTTAAGTGAGCATTTATCTGAAACATTTCGCAATTTTTGTGCTTGTTTATTGATTGCGACTGTGAAATAAGCCACCATGAGCCTAAAGAAAGTTCCTAATGCCACCCCTTTGGTAAAGGGCTGAGAGAGAGGGGAGAATGTGCCTTCTTCAGTGATTCTATGACGTATGATACTAAAGCAGCAGGAGTCGATAAAGGCTATAGCGCCAGTCAGCGATAAAGTGTAGCAAGTTAAGCAATAGAAGGAGGACACAAAACTAACTCCTCCAATGTTGTTGGAGGTATATAGGGCCACTCGCAACATATGCTGCCTGCCAATGTTCCACCACCCTAAACCAATGCCAGCATCTCCTCCAAGGTAAGGTATATATTCCTTATTCATAAATTAAAGTGTAAATATTTCTTATTTATAAATTACATACATTGTTTCAGTGTGAATATTGGTGGTGACCTCTGCTGCCGCCACCACCATATGTATGGCTTATGCTGTATGCAGATGGCAGTGCTCTGTTAGTGTCAGGTAAAGACCCACAAGATATAGCTAATGTTTTAACACTGGAACTGGAGTCCTGCAGCAAATGGTTAGTAGACAACAAACTATCATTACACCTCGGGAAAACTGAAGCCATTCTCTTTGGCACGAAACATAAACTGAGAAGGGTAAATAATTTTAATGTTCAGTGTAATGGGGAGCCCATCACTTTGGTTTCTTCAGTAAAATATCTGGGAATCCCCTTTGACCCATGCATGTCAGGAGAATTGATATGGAACAGTGTAGTAAAGACAGCGAATGCCAGACTGAAGTTCCTGTATAGACAAGCACAGTGTCTACCTACTGAGGCTCGCAGGACCCTATGTCCAGCCCTTATACAATGCCATATGGATTACGCTTGCTCTTCATTGTACTCTGCCTTGACAAAAAAAAACTGAAAGACTGCAAATCACCCAGAACAAAATCGTAAGATTCATCCTGGGGCTGGGACCAAGAGAGCATGTAGGCCAGAATGAATTACAGCAGTTGGATATGCTGAATGTTGAAGACAGAGTAAAACAACTGAAGCTAAATCATGTTTATAAAATTGCTCACAAACAGTGTCCAGAATATCTTGCTGTCAATTTTGTCAAGGTTGGGAACCAAAGCAATCATAGTACTAGGGGGAGAGAGCACAACTTTGTAGTACCCACAGTCATTGGCAAGGCTTCAAGCACCTTTTATTGTACAGCAATAAAGGAATGGAACAGACTGCCCGCACATGTCAAAGCCAGTCATAGTAGCATGAACCAGTTCAAGAGGAGTGCCGAAAGGTGTCTGATGAATGTAGCTACAGAAAAGGGAGGGGAATGATTTTCTATTTTTTAGCTAACATACGTGTAAATTTTACCTTATTCCTAGTAATGACCCTCGTGTAGTAGATAGTCTTCTTAGTATGATAAGATGTTATCTTCATTATAGAATAATAAGAAAATATTATAACCTTTATATTATAATAATAAGGTAAAAGGACCCCAATGGAAATAAGTCACTCTGTCTGACTTTTTTGGGTTATCCCAGGTTCTCTACACATATGCTGCTATGTATGATAATTCTATGTAACTGTATTTGTGTATACCTGAATAAACTTACTTATTCTGTTATTAATATTGTTTATTATGTCATATTAGATGAATTGTGATAGATAAATAAGCCGTAGAGTTGATATTAGCATGTCATACTTAAAGTATATTGTCCGTGTCCCCTCCTCGCTGTTTTCCATACTCGAACAAGAGTCTTCAATGAAGGTGTGTAACAGTGATTTAAATGTTCATTTATCCATTTCTTTAGAGCTTTACTTTTATTTCTCATTGTTTTCTGTATGTAAAACTACAGTTATTCTTTAAAAAATGTACTTTTTCTTAATATTTTTGGGTGTCTGGAATGGATTCATTGTATTTACATCATTTCTTATGTGAAATATTGCTTCAGTTTTCGTACATTTCGGATTTAGAATGACCTTCTGGGATGGATTAAGTACAAAAACTGGAGTTCCACTGTATGAGCAAATCCAGTGACTTGATTTGTAAATAGCTAGCAAACACTGCAACAGTACCTGCATACAATATAGGATTGAGGTGCATAATGAAACTCTCAAGTCAAATCAATAAATGTTCAAAAAGCTTGATTTTTTTTGTCCATTGTGCATAAGATTATTGTACTACACTTGATTACAATAAATTCCTTCCACTATATCAAACTCAGGATCTTTCAGATTCAGGTGGAAAAAAATATTTGCCTTGTTACATACTGCTATATCTGATATTTATGATTACTGCATAACATGCTAAATAAAATTAGAATTTATGGTCTATAAGAGGGCTCATTAGTCAATTTGATTTTATCAATATGCATAACAATATACATAAGAAAACAGAAGCTAAATATTTTGAAAAAGCAAACAAGTAAAAATTACAATTAAATTCAGTGTATTATTATAGCAAAGATAGTCAGATGTGTGACTAACACTGGAATGAGAGTAATTATGTGTCTGTATGCTATTGTTGATAACAAGCAACACTAACCTTATCAAACCTAAGTAACACACTTGAGTAACATATTCAGGCAACTGTAACAATTACAGATGTCCCTTGCTCAATGCAATAAATACAATCCAGGCTAATGGCAGCTGTACTAAGCTCATTCAGGCCAACACTTTTATTTCATATGAGAATCTTTATTGTGCTTTGTGAACATGTAGGGAATAACCAAGAGAAATGAGACTAATAATATATTTGCATAAAGTAAAGGAAACCTGTTAATCATCATACAAGTCATGGAGTTGAAAGCCTAGACCTTAGTCCTAGGCTTGCCATTTTACACTTATTATTCCCTGCTCTCCAAGGCCCTGTTGTTTACCGCAACAATAAACACAGTTGTTAGTTTATGAGTGGGGGGAAAAATTTAATGACTAAAGTATATGCCAGAGGATTGAGATCTGTAAGTACTATATACCGAAAGCAGGAGAGCCAAAGCAACATTTTGGAATTGTGGTACGGAAAATTCTTTTATAACTTCAATGCTTGCCTAACTCTATAGACTTGAGCTACTTCCACTAGTGGGCTTCACCCTCCTGTGACATCTCAAAACTGCTTCACCTCTCCTGTCTCCAGTATACAAGTCTTACTCCTCGGTATTTACTTTAGATTTGTCAAGACTCTTGGACATACCACATCCTTCAAAGGCTGATGAGCTGATTATCTCAACAGATTCATCAAGACTAATAACTGCATGTCTTCCACTATCCCCAGAATTATTAAAACTGATAGTCACAGGTTGGCAAAATGTTTCCCATTAAAGATGCCCAAGTGTTGCTCATGTGTCTTATTCAGTGTCTGGCTTAGCAATACTTACAATTTAAATTATGAAAGGACTATCTCCATTATAATAAATGATTACTTGTAGATGAGTGTTCAGTGCATTATAATTAACATGTTTGTGTGCTTTCTGAAAGCTATCTATTTACTTAATAGAGAAACTGTACAGATATAATACTACTGAATTTTAGTATCTGAGGTTTAAATAAAACGCAAAAGTACACGAGTGTTGGAATAGTTACCTAATTTATGGAGTCTTACCACAGTAACTAAAGAGGGTAAATATCCAATGCTGAGGTTTCTACAATAAATATACTACAAGAAGCAAAGTAATTATACTCTACTTAATTAGTACTACACATCAAAAAAAACATGAAAATTCCAAGAACATTTTTAAATCTAAGTTACCTTAAACCCAAACAATCTTTTCCGGTGATGATGGCTAGGCACAGAAGAAACAAGAACATTCAAGGTCTATCCCAAACATTAAATTAGAATTGCTGTGTTGAATATCAATACAGTACTGTCTACCAGCAATGTCCTGAATTGTTCACTGTGTGTTTTATTAGATAATTGAGTCCTTATCATCAGCATACTCATTATTCTGGCTACAAAAGATTAATTATTTTACAACTGGCACATATACAATAACTCTCCCTATTATTTGGTGACAAATATGAGTGACACCAGAGTTCAACAATGCATGGGCTCAAAAAAACATTCTCTGAAATTCTGGGTTCATCATTCAGACTCCTGCACTCATCATTTACAGAAAAAGTAAGGGATACCTCTCAAATACTATACTGCCCTTTTGCCAACAATTATATATACATTTATTAATATCCCATACTTTTAATTGTTTTCTACAAGTTAAATACATAAAGGCTACCACTGACCTGTGTTTGTGTTGGCTCATCATCAAGGAGGTTAGGGTTTGAGTAGGTGGTACGGAGGCCATTCATCTCTTGATAACTGTGATTACTTTCCACTTCCTCATGTTCATCTTCCTCAGCATCCAAATCCATTAGATTTGGTTGTGACTGAGCCATCTGGCAGGCACGTAGCTGCCTAAAGTGATACATACAGGTTATAATGGGCCAATCACACCTCTAATAGGCTGACAAAATTGTAAAGATAAATATACAAGTCCTCTTAGCTAATTAAAAGATATTAATCTCTTGTTAAATGGCAATAAGAATCCTGAAAATAATTGCCAATATTACACAGCAAGTCTAGCAAAAACTGTATTCAGTGCTACCAAGAACATAACAGCTTTGTTATAATGTTAGTTCACTGAGGAGTAAACACTATGATGACCTCTGACACTGCTTAATTCTCTAAATGTTAACGTGGCTATCATTATTCTTACTGAAACCTGGCTCAAACATGACTCAACAGACATCTTTGCCTTACCTGGTTACACAACCATACATAACTGTAGGCCTGATCAATTAGGTGGTGGTACTGTTATCTAATATTATGATGAATTAAATGTATTAAATCTACTTTCTCCAGGGATGAGAATGGTGCATACATATTTTGCAAAATTCTCAACTAAAAACCCCGATTACAGTTGGAGCAGTCTACAGGTTACCTCACACAAATTCTTACACATTCAGTGATAACCTAAAAAACATAATTGACTCAGAGATGAATAAACATCACCTGATATTTGCTGGCAACCTCAATATAAACCTTATCCAAGCAGTTGACCACCAAGTAGCTGACTTCATAAACATTATGAACAACTGCTTGCTACTAACATCTATAACTAAGCCAACGAGAATCTCTTAAGAGAAGTGCCTCATTATTTGACCATATCTGGACCAATACTTTATCCCCACTCAAAGCAGGAATAATCACAGATAACACCACAGACCACTAACCCACCTTCATCAAAACCAATAATGCAAACTGCTTCAAGACACTAGCAAGAACTCATTTCGACTTCATGACGAGTTGTCAGTATATAATTTTATTTCAACATTAAATGATATTGACTGGCATGGACAGTTAGCTGACATCCATGATACTGATGTCAAAATTTATCTTAAAAAAAAAAAAAAAAAAAAAAACTAACAGACACTGCCCAATTAAAACTAAACAGATCACAGCAAAGAGACTAAACAGCCCATGGCTTACAAATGGCATCCTCAAATCCATTGATAAAACACATCAATATGAAAAACAATTCAGCCTAGGCTTAATAACAAAAGCACAGACTAAACAATATGTCAATACTCACTAATCAAATATGGAAGTCTAATTATTATTATAGTCAAAGAAAGCTCTAAACTGACAAGGCCATACAGATATAGAAGTCTAAACAACTTTATTATGCAAGCATATTTAACAAAATAAAAGGGGATATGAAAAAGACCTGAAAACCCACTCTGAAATCCTGGGCTCTTCAAAACTGTCCAGAAACAGAGATATAAGCTTAACTAAACCAGATGAACCTCACATCCAGCTTGCAGATACTGCCAACAAACTTAATGTCTTCTTCTCTACTATAGGATCAAAACTAGCAAGCAGAATCCCAACCTCAAACACTCAGGTGAAAGACTACCTTGCTGGAAATTACCCAAATACAGCCTCTCCTCATTTAGTGATGTACTTGTTTACCGACGACTCGGACTTACGATGAGCTCTCTGACCAGTATGCATACCTAAATAATGTATATTAAGAGCTAATTTCCTCTATTCTGTTTATTACAATATACAGCACACTACTGTATAAGCATTTAAATATATACTAAAAATGTTATAAATGGTGCAAAGGTAACATTAAAACAATATCAAGATGGCTGACACAAACCCACTACCATTATAGTATGCTCCTTGCTTAGCAATGAATTAGTTTACTGAGATGGTTTTAGGAACGGAACTCCATCGTTAAAGTGAGGAGAAGCTGTTCTTTATATCTAGCTCCAAATAATCCTATTGAAGTCTCACTCATCATAAAGTCACTATTGCAACTCTGTTTAACTAATCAGTGGAATCTTCAACTTTCCCATCAATACTCAAGACAGCAAGGGTTACCCCAATCCTCAAAGATGGCAATCCAACTGAAATAAATAACTATAGGCCTATATCAAACTTACGTTTATTATCTAAAATCTTTGAAAAAAAAAAAATAATACATCATAAGCGAGTCTACTCTTACTTAATATCTCGCAACATACTTAACCCCTGCCAGTTTGGGTTTAGGTTGAAAAAAAAGTATTAAACCATTATGACATACGTACCTAAAAATGTATGTTTGTATCATAAATTGTACTCTTTGTAATACTGTTATCAGTTTCATCTACATTAAACTATAAAGCTTATTAATTAAAAAATTTGGATATCTCGTTAATAATAGTGTAAAATAATGAATATTTGAAATTTACCACTCTTTACCTGTCTAGACTTAAGTAGTCTAATTACGTATTAGGTTAAATCTGCCCAAAATGCACCAGCATTATAAGTGGCTTTCTTTGTACCAATCAAATTATGAAATGTAAACACACATTGTAACCTTTGCAAAAAAAAACTTTTGTTTTGCTTGTTTGTTATACAAATGCTTGAACTGCTTTATGCAGCACTTGAAAAAAATGAATATCCTCCGGGACTCTTCATAGACCTGCAGAAAGCATTCAATATGGTGGACCACAATATCTTGCACCTCAAACCAGAATATTATAGGGTCAAAGGACATATCCTTGCATACCTAAAATCTTATCTTAACACTAGATGCCAGTATGTCTCAACAAATGGTGTCACCTTTTTATTCAGCCTGTAGCCATAGGAGTGCCCCAAGGCAGTGTCCTTGGCTGTCTGCTCTTTCTCATTTATGTCAATGATCTCCCCAGTGCCATTCTAACATCGTGTAAAACAATTACACTCACTTGGCAGGACTTCTGTCTTCTCCTACTCAAATTCAACTTTGCTCATTGACACCATTATCAACAAGCTACTAAAAATATGTACATGGATGACGACCAACAAACTCACCCTCAATATACATACACATAACCTACTACATGCTGTTTGGAAACAAAGCTTGAGCTTTAAATATCCAACTTAACATACTGATCAATGATTTCTCCATTACAGGACACACCGAGGGTAAATTTTTAGGTCTTCACCTTGACTGCAAACTGAAATTTCATACTCGCATACAGCACACAGTCAAGGTCTCCGAAACAGTAGGCATCTTCTCCAAATTACGGTAGTTTGTACCCCAAATGGCCCTACTAATACTACCACTCTCTAATCTGGTATTTGTGCTTGCAATCTACTATGACAAATCATCCTAAACCATTATAACCCAACAAAAAATTGTTGTGTATTATCACCCATTCCTGTGCCAGACAACACACACCTCTCTGCTCTTTAAGAGTTTGAACTTACTTAATATGCAAAATATGCACTCACATTACTGTCTCTATTATATATGTATAAAGAACATTAAACTTCAATATAAACCCTGAAGGAGGGGTGTTGATATGTTGCAGTTTTTTGACGGTAGTGTAGGCACACCTCTGGAATGACAGTGATGGAGTGAATGATGATTTTTTTTTTTTTTTTTTTTTTTTTTGGGGGGGGGGGTCGCCCTGCCCTGCCCTGCCTTGCCTTGGTGAGAAACAGCCAACGTGTTAATAAAACAAAACAACAAAAAAAACCTCCCCCTTAAGCTTCTTAATAGCTACAACAAAACACACAGGAACAACACAATGCACAAAATTCTCAAATATCCCTCGTATCTGCCTCACCGTATGCAAAAAATTCAATGAACATAAAAGGTACCAAGATCTGGAAATCATTGTCCAAACCAGCAAAAGGTCCCCTTTCTGCCAATCAATTTAGAGCTATAAATAAAAATCAACTCTGTGGTATACCAGACATAACCAACTCATCCAACTACTTCCTGTTTCTTCACCATCTCTTACAGTCTTTCCATAGCCTGAATCATAGAGCCAGTTTGCAGCTACTTAAGAAATCCCAATTAATTTAAGATCACTGAATCAGTTTAAAGTATTAATATATATTGAAAATTGTACTATTGTAAATTGTACATACAGTAATAGTTTTGCTACCTCTCTACTGTAAATTGTAATATTTTTTTGCTAGCTATCTTTTTGTAATAATGCATAACACAAATTTACTACTCAATAACCTGTGTCTAGTCTTAAGTACTCCGTAGGCATCAGGATTAGTATTTCTGAAATATACATGCATGCTAGTGGCTTTGTTTTATGCTTAACAATATGTAATATTATGTAATATTATATTACATATAAACTACATGCAATACACTACACAATTAAATTAATTTTGTTTGTTAATAATAACTGCATAATTTAGATAGACCAGTAGGAAGACAGAAATTTATATATTCTATATTAAACATGGAAACTATAAACATTTGCATTTACTTTCAACACAATATTCATAAACAGCAACTCATTCATATCCGAAAGGAATTCTGTAGCTACACTGTACGTATTATGAAATATCATTATTTAACACCTCTGTGTTATGCATAACATCATTGCGAGTTTTCATGTAGGCGATATCTCGCTTACTGAGAGGGTGTCATGGTCTCACCTTAATTCCTCTTCTCGCATTTGCATTTCCTTTAGCTCCGACTGTATCTTTTCTTCTGCTGTGCAGTATGAGCGACGATACTGTTGCTGAATGTGATTGGTCGGTTTTTGAGACTGTGACGTGTTATCCTGAATTATGTTACTGTCCACTGGTTGTGGTTTCATTCTAGCCAAAGTTTCACGCTGTATAACTGCTGCCTGTGGTTTTCAGCATAAGGAATGAAAACATGATACAGGGCACTTTGAAAAGATAATATCCAAATTAGTCATAATTAAACATTTTTGCATACAGATTAATGTTTATAAAATGTAGCACCTTATTTGTCTCCTCACTTATCAACAGAGTTCTGTTCCCAAGACCACGTCGGTAAACGAATTCGTCGCTAAGCGAGGAGCATACTATAATGGTAGTGGGTTTGTGTCAACCATCTTTGATATAGTTTTAATGTCACTTTTGTACCATTTATAACATTTCTGGTATATTTTTAAATGTTTATACAGCAGTGTACTGTATAATGACATAAAAAGAATTGAGGAAATCTGCTCTAATATACAGTGGTCCCCCGTTTTTCGTAAGCATCGAAAGTTGTAATTTTCGAAAATTGTAACGTTTTTTCGTCAAATTATTGACACACGAATCGTCACTTGACTCGCAAATAGTTGTTCATCCCGGACGCGTACGCATGGCCCTGAGTGGCCTCACACTTCATTCCCAGCCAGTGTGCCATTGTTTATCAGCGAGTGACCATCACCTCACGTGTTCACATGATACATTTCATAATATTCCATTCATTTTAGTGCTTGCAACTGCTAAATAAGCCACCATGGCTCCAAAGAAAGCTCCTAGTGCCATGCCTTTGGTAAAGGTGAGAAACACAATAGAATTCAAGAAAAACTTCAATGAACAATATGAAAGTGGCATATGTGTGGCAGAGCTGGCCAGGATGTATAAGAAACCCCCATACAACTGTCGCTTCCATTGTGGGCAAGAATAAGGAAATGAAGGAAGCTGCTGTTGCAAAGTGGGTAAATATGCTCACAAAAATGAGATCACAAGTACTTGAAGATGTTGAGAAGTTATTGTTTCTCGGTGATCCACATCAACAATTAGCAGGGGATAGTCTTATGCAGTTGATTATTTGTGATAAGGCAAGGCAGTTGCCTTATCATTGGGGATTTCAAAGTGAAGCCTTTACTAGTGTATCACTCTGAAAAATTGCAGTGTGTTAAAGAAAAACAATAAAACAATGTTGTGAAGAGTAAATTGTGTGTGTTTTGGAAAGCTAATAATAAGGTATGGGTCATGAGGGGCATTGTCCTCGAGTGGTTCAATGAAGTGTTTGGCCCCAGTGTGAAGAAATACATCCTGGAAAATAAATTGGAACTCAAGTGCCTCCTGCTAATGGACAGTGCACCTGCTCATCCTCCAAACTTGGATGACCTAATGGTGGAGGAGTTTGGTTTCACAGTGAAGTTCTTGCCCCCTAATACCACTCCTCTCCTCCAGCCCATGGACCAGCAGATCATTCCAAACTTTAAAAAACTCTACACCAATGTTTCAAAGGTGCTTTGAAGTGACCTCAGACACTGAATTGACCCTAAGAGAGTTTTGGAAAGATCACTTCAGTATCCTCCATTGCATAAGCCTTATAGGTAAGGCTTGGGAGGGAGTGACTTCCAGAACTTTGAACTCTGCTTGGAAAAATTTATGGCCAGATTGTATCCAGAAGAAGGATTTTGAAGGGTTTGGGGCTGACCCTAAAGACCCTTTGCCAGTTGTGGAATGTATTGTGGCATTGGGGAGTTCCATGGGGTTGGATGTGAGTGGCATGGATGTGGAAGAGTTGGTGGAGGACCACAATGAAGAGCTAACCACTGAAGAGCTGCAAGAGCTTCAGCTGGAACAGCAACAGACCACAGCTTAGCATGTTCCTTCAGAGAGGAGAGAGATGGACAAAGGTGCCTTCTTCAGAATTAAGGAGATTTGTACAGTGTGGAGTAGGATGGATAGATTTGTGGAGAAACATCACTTTGACAAAGCTGTTGCAAGCCATGTCAGCAACATGTACAATGACAGTCTTCTCCCATTTTAGAGAAATTTTAAAGAGATGCCAGAAACAGAGCTCTCTGGACAAGTATTTACTGTCACAGGTGTACAGTGACTCTCAAGCTGGTCCTAGTGGCATTAAAAAACAAAGAAGGGAAGTAACCCTTCCAAACAGTAATTAATCCATCCTCTCCCCTCCTCCAGTCTTCCATACACTAAGCAGCACTGCCAGTAAAGGTAAGTGTTATGCTGTAATGTTTCATTCTTCATATCTCATTGGTTTCTGTGTATGTATATCTATATTTCATGTAAAAAAATGATTTTGTTTTAATACTTCTGGGTGTCTGTGGAACGGATTAATTGTATTTACATTATTTCTTATGGGGAAAATGGTTTCGGAAATCGTCAATTTTGATAATAGTCAAACTCTCTGGAACAGATTAATTATGAAAAATGAGGGATCACTGTACATTATTTAGGTATGCATATTGGTGCAAAGGTGACATTAAAACAATATCAAACATGGTTGACACAAACTCACTACAATTATAGTATGCTCCTCACTTAGCAATGAATTCGTTTAACGATGTGATCACAAGAACGGAACTCCATCGTTTGTGTGTGTGTGCACGCTCACCTAGTTGTGGTTGCAGAGGTTGAGTCATAGCTCCTGGCCCCGCCTCTTCACTGGCTGCTACTGGGTCACTCTCCCTTCACCTGAGCTTTATCATACCTCTGCTTAAAGCTATGAATGGATGGATGGACATATATATGTTGTGTGTGTGTGTGTGTGTGTATGTACTCACCTCACCTAATTGTACTCGCTTAATTGTGGTTGCAGAGGTCGAGACTCAGCTCCTGGCTCCGCCTCTTCACTGATCGCTACTAGGTCCTCTCTCTGCTTCCTGAGCTTTGTCATACCTTGTCTTAAAGCTATGTATGGTTCCTGCCTTCACTACATCACTTGCTAGGCTATTCCACTTCCTGACGACTCTATGACTGAAGAAATACTTTCTAACATCCCTGTGACTCGTCTGAGTTTTCCGCTTCCAATTGTGGCCCCTTGTTTCTGTGCAGTCACCCCTTTTATAGTTTGGCTTTTCCCATTCAATTCCTGTTACCCTCTCCACTTATAACTCTACTATATATTCAAAACTCAGAACCACGTGATCACTAGCTCCAAGGGGCCTCTCATAAGTGATGTCCTCAATGCCTGAACTGCTCAAGGTGAACACAAGGTCCAGTCTTGCTGGTTCATCCTCCACTCTCTCTCTGGTAGTGTCCCTAACATGTTGATGCATGAGGTTTTCCAGTACCACATTCTAAAATTTTTTAATATACGTTTAAAGATACATTTTTTCATTTACGTTAATGTAAAAATTAATAATTTTGTACCAAAAGAACCTTAGAAAACTTGCCTAACCTTATTATAAGAATTGCAATTTAATTTAGCCTAATCCAACTAAATATATTTTAGATAAGTTTACAATAATTTAATAATAAACAAACACAAAGAAATTTTTTTTTATTTTCCTTAGGTTCATGATGATATTTGTGAAATTACTGCATACACAAATTTTCGCTTGCCTTATTTGGCAAGAAGAGTGTTGCTATTTAAGCCAAAATTGCACAGACACACACATACAGTATGTATATTTATAAAATAATGTGCCATATTTTTTAAACACTGCTCTACATGCAAAAATTTGAACTATATATTTTATTCAAACAGTCTTTATATTTTTAAATTTAAAAAAAAAATCTTTATGATTCCTTAATTATTAAATCATAAAACTTTCACATGCACTATAACTAAAGTACAAAAAAGAAATGCAAAAAACTATTTTCAAGTCAGGAATTAATATTCACACTAAAGCAACTAAAATGCCGTTAATATTCCCATTGTATAAAACATCTGAATGAAAAAGAATAAACTCAAAAGTATATTAAGAAGAAATGATTCATGAAAATGTCAAGATGAAAGCACCTTTGGCTCGACCCTCATAGGTCTGGTGGGGATGCCCCGGGATGTGGATGTGGTGTGGGTAAGGGGAGGCGATGCAAATGCAGAGCCAGTCATCTTGCCCCGAGAAGCTATAAACTTCTGCATGAGTCCCTTGGGTGCTCGTGGGTTGGTGAGGGATGAAGTACCAGTACTAGCCAGGTTGTTGGTGGATAGACTCCTGGAGAGCCCTCTGGTTAATGCAGGGGAAGGGGTAAAGTTGGGAATTGGAGAAGACGGACTGCGGGGTGACAGACTACGTTTCGGGGTAGATGAAGGTGTGCTGAAGTTGCTTAGTCGGGAAGGAGCAGGACGTGTCCGTGGGCTCTCGTTCTGGCTCTGGTCAGTAAAATCTGACATGCGGGTCACCTACAGTAAAGGAGTGAAGTAATGTGTAAGTTACTTTACTTTTGCAACTACATGACAATACATCTCAAAAATAGGTTGAAACTGTAATGACTAAAATTTATAAATTATGCAAGCCACATGTTTTTCCAGCCACTAAGCTTAGTATTTACAGCATTATTCACCCAAATTCAGTATAAATACTGGTATATAAAAGCTCAAAAGGCACTGGCTTAACACTAAATGCTGCTCATCACTAGCATTTCTAAGACCTCAGCATGATTCCCAACAGTGGAAGCCTCACACTACAAACATTTTTTTTAGGTTACCGTTATATCAACTCCAGTGAAGGGCTTTCCTGTTTTCATGAATTTTTTTCTTCTAACTTTTACAGGCCTCTCAAAAAAGATATATTTTTCACCAAATCCTCGGGTCAGCTTTAGAAAAAAATAAAAATTTCACAATGGAAGTTTCCCCAACATTAATGTAGCTTAAGTAACTAGATTTTCAATTATCGTAATAACCTTCAAAAGCTTAGTTTCTTGGGAGAGTTTGCAACAGTTATAAATATATAATGTAGTACAATTTTTGTTCAGTCACTAGTAGTGGAAGCAAGTCTTAATGGTTAAGGTATAAAACTACAGAAACATTTTCAGACTTAATTATCAAGCAACATGTAAATTAAACATTAACAATTAAATTTATGAAGGCGGCGACAGTGCACAGTAAAAGCTGTGTGTGACACTTACTTTAGCATCAACTGTGTCCTCTGACATTGTCAGGATCTTTCCAGCATCTCTAAGCTCCATCTCCTTCATGCTTGTTTCTTGAATCTCCAACTGAATCCTATTGGTAGCCAAACGGTGCTGGACATCCCGGCCATCATTGTTGACCACAGGGGGCGTCCGTGCCAACGTAGTCTGGCTAGAGGAACGACTAGTCGAGCTGTTGATAGAAGCTGTGAGGCCCTTCTCCCTCCTGTAGGCTTCCTCTCGTTCCCTGGCTAGGCGGATCTCCCTCTCGATGACAGACTCCTTCTGCATCCTGCCAAGAAATCACATTTGTAACTTCAGGGCTCCAAGTTGGCAGACACATTACTAATAGGTTCCATAAATAAAAGAACTACTATACATACGTATATTACTGTATGGAGTGACGGTAAATAGTACTAGATCCTGTACACATGGTCACAAGGAAATTACTATATAGTCAATGATACTAACATAGGCTCTCAGATAATTTCTGATGAAGACACTAGACAGTAGTCTAAATGAGACCTTACCAACTAAATATAGCTTTATTGCAAACATTTATGCACTGCTGCTGTGGCATTAGATTACTGCTAACCAGAATTCCTATCCATTTTTCACGTTCAGAGTGATCATCTCTGTATCATGTTCAAATTAATAAATAAATAAATAAATAAATATCTACATTATTCGGTTTGTGTCATGGTTATTTTCTCAGACCTAAAACCTTACATTTGTCTACATTAAACTGTATTTGCCACTTCACTGACCACTGCATCAACCTATACAGATCTTCGTGTAGTGCTCTAGTGTCCTAATCAGACTTAATCTTACTATTTTAGTGTCAACGGCAAACTTTATGTCGCTATTTATTCCCTCGTCTATGTCGTTTATGTATATTGTAAAAAACAAATGGCCCCATATTGACCCCTGTGGAACACCGCTAGAGACACTTTCCCACTCTTGTTTCTTCCCATTTATGCAAAAGATTAATGATTATCAGCCATGTCTCGATCCAGGAAAAAAATCCCTTCCTATTCCATGTGCCTCTACTTTCCTCAATCTCATGTGGTTGTGTTGGCTGATGTAGGCTGGACCTATTGTTCACATCGTCCATGATTCATATAAATAGCATAATAATTTTGTCACCCTACGCCCACCCCTCCTGCTCCCTTCAATACCTGACCTCACCAGACTTGATCTCAAAATCAACCTTGTGTAACGTGTCCTCCTCTTAACCTGGCCTCATGGTGCTTGTTTGCCTTATAAGGTGATTTGCTCATCCCTGTGTACCTTATAAAGCCCAGCCATGCGTGAAACACTGTAATAAAAGGATCCTCTGCTACCAATTTTTTTATTCACACTTGTCGCTTTTGTCTAACTCCAGGTGGGCCCATCTTTTCCCTGATCTTATTCCTATATATGTGTAAGAAATCTTTTGAATTGGTCTTTGATCACCTCACAACCTTAATTTCATAAATCATTTAGCAGTTAGTGTTCATACATATGGCAGGCGACTCCTAAAACTCCCAGGTCACTGTGGTAACAAGGTAACCACTGGTCCAGTATACTGGTCTGCGAGTTTTAGGACTCGCCTGCCATGGGCTTGAGCCTCGCCCATTCTTTGATTTGACTGCAATTGTGTTATTATAATTTCATGAGTTTTAATTTCGTGTAGTCTTTTGGCTACCCTTATTCTTTGGTTGACCTCTTTTCACCCAGGGGATAAGTCTGAGTCTATTGTTTATCCATTTAGGATCATTCGTATTTGATCTAAATTCTTAATCAGAAATATATGCAGCTTGAACAACCACCACCTTCCATCCGGTCTCTCAGGATAGTTCCTAGGCAGGATGCCACAGTCTACACTTCTAGGTAATCTCCTAGCCCCGCATAATCTACAGTGCGAAAATTAGTGTGCTAAACCTTGTTATCCTTATTAAGGTAATCCTACGAGATATTAGCCCTTCATTAGCCTTAAAATTATATATAACAGAGAATCCTTGTTTGCTAGCACTAAGTCCAGCAGGTTATTTCTTGTGTTAAAAAGAAAAAAGCAGTCTTGAACCATCTCGAAAAAAAGTAGTTAGCTAACCGAATGTATTTATTATACCCATGGGGAAGCACTAAACACGTAGGGGTCATATAACACCCTGGTGGAATGGGAGGTATTCAGGTTCGATCTAAGGAAGGTGAGGGAAGGTCCAATTCCTTGGATCAAGCGCCTCTCAAGATCAAGGAACCTTCCTTGAGGGGAACAGAGTGCCTAATCTTATTCCTATTATTTGTTGTATTTGTATGTAAAACTGTGTTATCCGAGTTATCATTGTTGTAACCACAAATTACTTTTTTTTTTTTTAAGAGGGTGATGGGCCTTCCAACTAAATATTAATACTTATGGGAGTGGGAAACTTTAGACTATTTCTAGATGTCTCGAGTCACTAGACAAATTATATTATAATCCCCTCACCGACCATCACTGAGATAATTCACATTTTTTTCCAACTTAATAATGCATCAGCCACTCAGATGTAATTTTTAAAAGATTTTTCGTAAGGTCTATCACAGTCAACGTACTCTTACTATCTGTCAAATTCTTGTGTGAGTTTGCATGGAAGTATTGTCCCTTTCACTTAAATCTTAGTAGCTTCCCGAGAGTTTACGTTTCGAGATTTTTTTTTTTTACCCCGGAGGGTTAGCCATCCAGGATAACCCAAGAAAGGCAGTGCGTCATCGAGGGATTGTTTTATTTCCATTGGGGTCCTCAATCTTGTCCCCCAGGATGCGACCCATACTAGTCGACTAACACCCAAATACCTACTTACTAGGTGAACAGGACAACAGGTGTAAGGAAACGCGTACAATGTTTCCACCCCTGCCTGGAATCGAACCCGGATCCTATGCGTGTGAAGCGAGAGCTTTGCCAGCCAGACCACGGGGCTACGGCATCACAAAGATGGATTCGCGATACTCAAACAATTATTACATTTGGATACCACTTTTATTGACCAATGTGTCGCAACCAATTTACATTACGAGTGACTTCATGCGTTTGGGATTTCCGAAATAGTTTTCCTTGTGGTAGGGTGTTGATTGTTTGTGACAAGCAACTAGAAAGTTGAAAGATTATGGTACATTTAAGAGATTTTTTCAGAAAATTATGTTGAGAAGTTTCGACGAGATATACTTTATAAAACTTGTCTAGAAAAACTGAACACACTACCTGGATAAAACTGCATTAATGTATTTCATGTGAACTACTAAGCCCATGTGGATCATTCATGAAGGAGATTTAACTGAGTGGCTATAATAGCGTGAAACACACAACCTACCCACCTGGAGCTCATATATAGAAAGCTAAACTGACTGGACAGTAGTCTGTGTTGCGCTTCTACATGCTTTCTTCATGGCAACGATGACGCTTGCAGTTTCAAGGTGATCTATCATGCTCCAGAGGCGGTGTGAATAGCAATCATAGTGGCCAACACCACACGTCACCAACCCTCCATCCCCTCAGCGTCATCCTCTTTTAATGTGACAAGAGTAGCTTAAGGTAGGAAACCTTGATGCCGATGAGTTCTTGATCTAATGAAATAAACTTATCCTTTCTTTCCTTGGATTGAATCTGACTGCCTTCCATTTCCCAGGAGCTGTATAACCCTTACGGGTCTGAGTTCCCATGGATATCTAATCTGGCAGTATTCCTCTTGACTCTTTCAACTGCATATCATTCAGCTTATGAATCAAATACCCTAATAGGAAATGAGATGGTCTCGCGTCACCTGAATGACTTGATCTTCAACTTTCAAGGCTCCTACAATGATTTGCGTATTCACTTGACCTTTTGTACATGTAAATAGAGCCTAACTGCACACTGCTCTTTAATGATGAAATTCACCTGTACACTATCAAAAATACTTCGATCATTTTAACAGGAATTAGACTGTAAATACACAGATATAAAACTCCCAGTCATATATACTTACAATGAATTGTGATCATTTTATTCCCTGGCAGTGTCCTTCCAAAGACTTAAGTGGTTGATACCTTTTGTGTGGTTGTATTCACAGCTCTTGTGGGCATAAACACTAGCGTTCACAAATACTAGTGGGAACTAGGTAACAAACACCAGTGGGCACAAACGAGGACAAAAGTGATCACAAATAAAAGTGGTCACGAACACTAGTGGATATAAACAAAAGTCACAAACACAAGTGGTCATTAATCATGGGTAGCGCCAAACCCGTAGGATTATACAGCGCCTGTGGGGAGAGGGATGGAAGGTATTCAGACTCAATTCAATGAACTGGACCACAGATCCAATTCCCTAGATCAAGAGCCCCTTACCAGCGTCAAGGAACCTTCCTTGAGGGGATACAAGTGGTTAGAAACACTGGCGTAATATACAAGAACAATGATAATTGAAAAATAAAAAAAAATGACAAAATATACGAAGCGCGGATAAGATCAGATGGAGAGAAGGGGCGGAACTGTGCTACTACGCGTTTCCTGAGCGTCACAGGCAGGTTGATCATCAGTATTTTAAGAGTTAAGAATGTAAGAACACTGCAGCAGGCCTACTGGCCCTTGCTAGGTACGTGCAACTCACACCCACTCATGCACCTATTCAACCTATATTTAAAGCTACCCAGGTTCCTGCTGCCTCAATAATGCTACATGGAAGTTTGTTCCACTCATCTACAACCTTACTGCCAAGCCAATACTTCTCAGTATCCTTTCTGAATCTAAATTTCTTCAACTTGAATCCACTGCTGTGAATCCTGTCTTGATTAGATATTTTCATCGCGATATTTATATATCCTTTATTTATTCTCGTGTTCCATTTGAACAATCATATCCCCCCCAATTCTACGCCTTTCCAAAGAATGCAGGTTCAATGCCTTCAGCCTATTTTCTTAGGAAAGGTTTCTAATACATGTACATGGAATCAACTTCGTCATCCTTCTCTGTAAAATGGAGACCAGAACTAAACAACATAATCTAAATGAAGTCTAACCAAAGCTATATTAAATATAACCTTGGGACTCCTATTTACACTTATTCATACGGAGCCAACAATTTTATTAGATTTACTGCAAGCATTTGTGCACTCTTTGCTTTAAATTTCAGTTCACCAGAGCTCCTAGAACTTTTTCACATTAACTCTAAGATCTACATTGTTTAGCTTATAAATGACAGTTATTTCCATTTTCAAGGATTAGAACCTTACACTTGTCTGCACTGAGCTGTATCTGCCAGTTTTCCACCCACAATATCAACCTATCCACGTCATCC